ACTATGAGGTGAGATATCACGGATTGAATTTGTTGTGAAAAACTTGCATTTGAAAGACTCGATTAATTAGTTAACCTTGTGTTCTTTATTTGGTTGAACAATATTTATGGTGTTTTTGTTTCTTTGTTTGTTTATATTACTGGTTGATTCTTGTTGCCATTATTGCTTCCTGTTTTCCATTATTATCGTTATACTGCTATATTGCACATATTATTTGACTAGTGAGTGTCTTAATTGTACCTCGTCACTACTCCACCAAGGCTAGTCTTAATACTTACTGGTTACCGACCGTGGTGTACTCATATTACACTTCTGTATATTTTTGTGCAGAGCCAGGTATTGGAGATATCAGACTCGGGCAGAGTTAGTTTGTTGATCGCAAGGATTTGAGGTAGAGCTGCTTGGTCGTCGCCGTCCCTTGGAGTCTTTTCATTCTTATTGTACTATCAGTTATTATTCGAATAGTATTGTATTTAGATCCTTGAGATCATTTCATGTATTCAGTTAGAGTTCGTGACTCTATATTACTAGTCTTGGGAGGTTGTTATAATTATTGCCGTGACGGCCTATTTTCGCTTTTAGTTCCGTCACCTGTATTAAATTCTGATTAAAAAAAAGGCTTGAATTGTTATTGTAATCGGCTTACCTAGTCTTAGAGACTAAGTGTCATCACGAAACCTGTGGTGGAATTTCGGGTCGTGACACTATCTTTCTTAAAAATTGAGTACAAGTTAAATAGGGGCAAAACTACTAAAAACCAACAGACTTGGGACTGAAAACTTCTGACCGGAAAAATTAGTCAGAAATTTTCGCCTGATCCAGCCGAAAATTTCAAAAATAATATTTGTTATATTTTTTTAAAAATTCTTTAGACTATATTTCTGACAATATTAGTCACAACGTTTGGCACAAAAATCTGGGATAAAAAATTCCGATAGATTCGGTTGGAAACTAAAAGTCACACTATTTTGTTTGAACATTTGCGACCGAAATGGACGCAACCTTATTTAAAATTTGGTCAACTTAAATTTTTAAATTTGCAACCGAAATAGTCACTATTTTTGCGACGGAATCAGTCGCAGACTTCTTTTAAAACCCCAACCCCAACCCCGTTTCTTTCTTCGTCTCTTTTCTTTCTTTCTTCTCTCTTCTTCCTCCATTGAGACCTTCAGACCCCCGGCCGTTCGACAGTCGCTGTTCGCCGGAAAATGTATGTCACTCTTTTTTCTCTTCTTCCCCAACCCTTCTTTTTGTTAAACCCATCCCCCATATCTGCCCCCTTCCCTCACCCCTTTGTTCTGCCCAACCCCGCCCTCCTGTCCACACTTCTTTTTATTAAGAGTCAAACATAGATTTTTCAAAGATATCAAATATTTGAAAAACATTCAGTTTAATATTTAAGATCTAAAAGAGTAATTATTATTCCGTAAAAATTACCATCCTGGAAAAAACAATTGAACTGCCATTCCTTTTGGATCTGGAACGAATATCTTGCAAAATGAAGCAATGCAATCAGCTGTACTTACTGTCCTGTTCAATGTAACATGACCACGTTATAACAGACTAAGGAATCGAAATTTCTTTTATTTTTATATCTCTGCTCCAGATTTGAAAATCACATTAGGAATTCATTTACATTAGGAATCTTGCCTCTAGGTTTTAGATAATTTTTAGTTCTCTAATTGAATTAAATTTTAAACTTCTTTAGAATTTTCATAGATGTTTATTTAGAATTGCCATAGATTTATTTTTAGAATTGCCATAGATGTATTAATATTTAAGCTTGAAACTAAATTCACTTTTAAAATTGAGGTTAGTACCTATACGCGGTTTTAACAATTGCGAAGTTTATGTATATGTGAAATTGTTAACTTTAGAGAAGAATGATTTTGAATTGTATTAAATAGTTATAATTTAAAACTTTAATTTTAAGTTTAAGAAGTTAAGATTATTATCGCTTCCTAATTTATTAAATGGACTAATATTAAATTTAAAAATTAATAATTGCTACATTAAAAGGAATTTGTAGATTTGGCAAATTATTATTCATGTGTGGACTTTATGAACATATAAGAAGCTATTGGAGCTGCAATGGAGTCCGAGTCTGAGCCTGAGGAGGAGACCGAGTCTGACTAGGCAATTTGAATGTTTTAGAGTTGAAGTTAGAGACATGTTTAATTTATGTTGTTTTCTTAGATGGTTGAATTGTTATAAATATTACTGTTCGTTTTGTAGTAAATATTGAATTTGGATTGTTATATTAGGTGTTTGGTTGGTTGTTAGGTATTTGGTTGGCTGTTTTATTTGACAGGTGATGTAATTAAAAATACAACAGAATTCTGCTAAAAATTATCCAGATTTGCGACAGAATCAGTCGCAAATTTCACCAGAAATTACCTAGATTTGCAACTGATTCAGTCGCAAATTGAGAATTTCTAAAAAAAATTAATTAAGATTTGCGACTGAATGAGTTGCAAATGGAGAATTTCTGAAAATTTTAATTAATTAATATTCAATATTTATGACTGTTTTAGTCAGAATAATTAATTAAAAATTAATTTTATTATTTAATTTTCCGACGGAATCAATCGAAACATTTAATTTGTATTTAGTTTTTTAATTATGGTCAGTGACTGAATCAATCGCAACTTTTTACCGGGGGCAGATCCATAGTATCGGGTGTGGGTTCCCAGTAATTTTTATCCGAGCCTTGTATTTGTATTGATTAATTTATTAAATATATAAGTATTTTTAGTTTGGAACCCATAAGCAAAATCTGGTGTTGGTCCAGTGGAAACGAAGGAACCAACTTAAGCTATATTCCTCCCTATTTGGCTGGGGTTCGAATCCCTTTGAACACTTCTTAACGTCACTTTTATTTTCTTTCACCAAACAACACCCATAGACACTTTTTTGTTTCTCTTTTTCTTTTAAAAACTAACCAGCCAACATTAAAAAATTTTCTAACTTGCTTAAAGTATCACTTTTGCCCAAATGCTAGGAACCCATAAGGTTCAAATCCTAGATTCGCCTCTGCCTCTGGCTATTGACCAAGTCTATGTATCAACCTAATTGCTGAACAAGATAAAATCGTGTATTTCACGCGTATAAGGATTGTGAATGTAAAAAAATTATGATTAAAATAGGGAAAAAAGAAAAAAAAAATGCAAAAAATAAAATTAGAAAAAGAAAGAAAAGGTCAAATAGGTGACTTTTCTCTTTCTCTTACGTTCTGCCGTCCACCAAGGATCCCCCTCCCTCGCCCCTTTTCTCTATCTCCCTCCCTTCTTCATATTACTCCTATTTCCCATTTTAACCCAAAACCCACAGCAACAGAACCCTTCCCACCATATTTTCATCCAAACAATGACAACCCTCATCGCCATAGATTCAAAATATCTACCAGATTTGCAGCAATTTTTGGGGAATTTTTTTTCTCACATTCCCATTTCCCTACTTTGGAAGATAGCCTTTGCAAAGAAAAGAAATAGAAATAGTGAAAGAAGATCGCTTGGTGAAACCTATATTCTAGTTTTCCTGTAGTGAAATTTCAAAAAATTTTGGGTGATGTTGGTCTTTCGGGTGGTCATTTTGATGGCCGGTTCTTCTTTTGGTGGTTGATTGGTGATGCTATGGTGGAGTGTTGGTTGTGAAGAAGCTTTGTAGGTGAAGGATGGTCGAAGAGGGGTCACACACACGGTGGTGGTTAGGAGATTTTTAAGATTTGTGATTAAATATAACGAATTTAAATGATAAATGTGTTGGGAATAATGGAGAATAAAAATTGTGAGGGAGGAGGAAGGTGGAGGGAATGGTGGTATAAAAAAAAAGAAAATGAACAATTTTAAAATAATGTGAAAAATAAATTAATAATGATGTGTAACAGAAAACTTGACGTGGCTATTGATGTGTCATCCATGTCAGAGATTTGAAGAACATGCGAGGTGAGAAGGGTTTAAAATATTGGTTTTAAATAACTATAAGTGTCTGGATAAAACTTTATTGAGTTTAGGGATTGGGATGTCAAATGCCAACAAATAAAAGTGTCCACCATGCTATTCTGCCTAATATCTTTATACAAGAATGTTTATGGGACAAAGATCACTTTTAGCCTGCGACTAAAATTATTTATATTCGGTAGCTAAAAAAAGTGTATAATTTTTTTTTTATATTTTTTATATATAATATACAAAATGTATATTTATATATAAACATATATTTTTCGACTATTATTTCGAGAGCGACTATATAATGTCATTTTTCCATGTTTATGTCTACTCCAATACCTTATGAGGAGTTAAAGGTCCATGACCTCCTACTTCATGTAAAAAGAAAAAACAATAAATGAAAAGGGCAAAATAGCCTAATAGCTCCCTAAATTTTGCACCGATCTTTCAAGCTGGTAATCAAACTTGCGAGTTTCCCATTTTGACACCTCTACTTTACAAAATGATGTTAAATAAACATGGGTCGTGATTATGGATTGTGGACTAATTATGTGGATGACATGGATCGCGACCCTATCTACCTCTGGACAAGGGTAAAAACTTATTTACACCTAATATTTACTCGTACCCAGTTTTTATATCCGATGTGATATAAATAAAAAAATATGAAAGATCACATTTAAATTTCAAAATATGAAAGACTTAGAAACTGTCCAAGGCCATTTTGCTGGAATATTTCATTCTAGCTCTCAGATTTTAAGGAGACAAAATACGAGAGGAATCAAAGATAGGAACCACGGAGTTAACTAGGCCTTGCAATTTGGCAAATGTACTTCTTCTTTCCATGTTTTTGCCGGCATTCCACTATTACAGATGCCATAAACAATCTATTTTGGCTTATTCTCTTGTCCACTTTGCCTAATATTCATGTTCATTTTCTTAGAAAACTTCACCAGTATCATTCCCTTTCCTATATACACTGGAAAATCACTCTTTCTATTACCTTCATAGAAAGAAAATTAAATAGTTTCTTTAATTAGTGCCTTTAATATGATGGCATTTCTTAAGGGACTGTTTGTTTATGCTATATTACTTGCTGTGTTTCTTAGTGGAGTAACTTGCATTGAGATATATCATGAATGGATTGTTTCAATTGATACAACTATCAATCCTTTGTCATCTCCTCAGTCTGTAAGTGTTCTCGATCACTTGTCGTAATTAATATGTTTTTTTTACGGTTTCTTTATCCAATTTTTGACTTGTTCGAAGAATAAGTGTTTATGTTCTGTGCACTGACGGTGTAAATAAGTTTTTCTTAAGTTGACTTACAAGTCTACAACAACATGCAATTCTCGATATCAAGTCTAATATGGTAACATGAAAAATAGAGTATTGATTGCATTTGTAGTGTTAGAACTCTTTGATTGTCACTGTATATAACTTAAACTCATTGGATTACTGATGTTTTCTTTATCCGACTTTTGACTTGTTGGAATGACAAAAGAAAGTGATTCTATGCTACAGGTTATCACTATAAATGGGATGTTCCCTGGACCACTGATCAATGCGACGACTAATGATGTTGTAAATGTGAATGTCTTCAATAACATGGATGAATCCTTACTTATAACATGGTATGCACATACTATGTTCTTAGTGCCTGTTATAATTTGGTATCAATACGAAAGAAATGAGTCATTAACCTGAGGATTAATAAAATGTTTATTTTTTTCTTCTTCTAAAGGAATGGCATCCAACAGAGGCTAAATTCATGGCAAGATGGAGTTTCTGGCACTAATTGTGCAATTGAACCTGGAACAAACTGGACATATGTGTTTCAGGCTAAGGACCAAATTGGAACTTTCACCTACTTCCCTTCAATCAACTTTCATAAGGTTGCTGGAGGATATGGACCAATTCGAGTCAATAATCGCAACGTCATAGCTGTCCCATTCCTAAAACCAGAAGCTGAGTTTGATATCCTGATTGGCGACTGGTTTAGTACTGATTACAAGGTAAACAACACTATAATCTCTATCTTGAATTATGTGACTATCTCATCTAAAAAGTTAACTGTACGTTAGAGAGGGTACGTTTTATTTACTTAACTATATCATTAACACGTCTCTTCACATGAATATATGCTCTGATACCATGTTAAATTATATGACCATGTCATCTAAACACTTAGAGCTGTTAGAGAGGACACATTTTTATTTAATTAATTATATAATATTCACTACTCTAGATTGGAACTGATTTTTCCTTCACGTTAATCAACTAAAGTTTTTTTTTGCTCGTGCGTCTTGCAATAAGCAGTCTCTTAGGTCCTCTGTACAAGACAGGGAATCTAGCCAGCTCTTCGATGTCCCTGATGCAATCCTGATGAATGGTAAAGGACCTTATGCACTCGCAATTTCTAAAGGACATGAGTCTTTTACTGTAACAAAAGGTAAAACAGAACAAAAGTTTATCTTGTTCTGATTCAAGAATCTGATATCTCATCACCTTCCCTGATCCTTTACTTTCATATTTTGCATATAGGAATGACTTACAGATTCAGGATATCAAATGTTGGAACAGTCATGAGTTTTAACTTCAGAATTCAAAACCACAAGATGGTTTTGGTTGAGACAGAAGGGTCTTACACAAACCAGATAACACTTGATTCTCTCGATGTGCACGTTGGCCAATCGTATTCTGTTCTCGTTACTGCTGATCAAAATGAAGCTGATTATTTCATGGTAGCAACTCCTAAAATGTATAAAAGTAATGAATCTAGTGATAGCAAATCTCTTGAAGGAATAGGAATCCTGCACTATGCCAATTCTTTGACAACAGTTAGTGGCCCTCTTCCTTCCGGCCCTGATCCATTTGATATCGAATTTTCTGTCAATCAAGCCAAATCTATCACGTAAGCATTTCTTTGAACGTTATAACTGACCCCAATTAATATGATATTGAGGCGTAGTTGTTGTTGTAAATTCATTTATTAAACATTGTAGTTAATGTGTACTATAGGTGGAACCTGACAACTGGAGCTGCAAGGCCTAATCCACAAGGAACATTCAATGTGTCAAATGTGACATTGACTCAAACCTTTATCCTTCATGGTTCAAAGGGTGAAATTAATGGCTGGCCGCGATATGTAGTCAACAACGTATCCTATCTCACACCAGAGACACCATTGAAACTTGCTGATTTCTTTGTGAATGGATCTGGTGTCTACCAACTAGATCAATTTCCCACTCACTCGGTGAATGACGCTGCTGCTTATGGAGCTTCTGTTGTGTCTGGGATCCACAAAGGGTGGCTAGAAATCGTCTTCAATAATGATCTTGATGTCATGGACTCTTGGCATTTGGATGGTTTTGGATTTCATGTTGTAGGGTAAGCCTTATCCAATCTCCACCTTTAAAGAATTTAAATAAACATAGAATATCTCGGCTTTGCTAGCAAATAGACATACAGTCAGACCTCTCTATAACAATATGTCAGTATCCTTATATAACAACCATTTACTATAAAAGCCAAGTTTTGCTCGGAGCCGATTTTTATCCTATGTTATAATATATGTCCAGTATAAGAGCATTTCCTTATAGCAGCCAAAAAAATATAGGAACAAACGAGGCTGTTATAGAGAGGTTTGACTGTAGTAGCGACTGATTACTTGAGCCATGTAATGACCTTTTCTTTCTCCCAGATTTGGGAATGGAGATTGGACACCAGCAGCTCGTGAAACGTACAACATCTTCGATCCTGTTGTTCGTTCCACTGTCCAAGTTTACCCTGGAAAATGGACAGCAGTATATGTTTTCCTTGACAATCCTGGAATGTGGAACTTGAGATCACAGCACTTGAAGAATTGGTACTTAGGACAAGAACTTTTTATTAGAGTTTTCGACGATAATCCTAACCCTGCTAAGGAGAGGCAACCACCTCAAAACCTTCTTTTGTGTGGTCTGTGCCAATTACTTTTGTTCTTTGCTTCATCACACATTTAATTGATCAAATTCTTATACTTAGTCATAATTTTTTGTTGTTCTTATAGGGATGTTTGAAAGTTTTCTTTCACCTGTTCCAAGTCCAGCTCCAGCTCCCCAAGCAGGATGGTAAAAGGAGTTCTATTGATTACATGAAGATTCATGATGTTAACTCTACATTTGTATCTTATATCTCATAAAGTAATACTTACATTTGAAAGTAATTAAGCTTGAGGCTTAAACATTGTTTATTTTGGTTGTAATTGATTCTTTTTGCTATTTCTTAGCGGCAAATTTCCACTTTACCCAAGTTGTTAAATGCTTCTATTTCTCTGTCCTTTTCTTTTGTTTACCGTTTATCCCTATGCATAGTTTCATTTCCACCGATGAATAAATATTTAGCTACAAATACAGATGAAAATAGGGTTGAGATCCTTAAATCAAATTTCAAACAACTATGTGAATCATCACTGACTATGATGTTAAATACTATGGCGGAGCACCACTATTGAATAAATATTTGAACAAATGATGAAGTGAGAATCGAACCCAGACAACGCATTAAAAGTCAAAGTTTGGCCCCCCAAATTAACCAATATACAACTGCCTAAAAATACATACATATACGGGGCCAGTGATCCCCACCCTAAGAATAGATCCGCCTCTAGGAATCACAACAGTACTACCACACTATTGGGTGTGGTATGATGGTTGAAATACCTTTACGGCCTTAACCAGTAATCTCATATTTACTTTCCCCATTAATCAAGGTCTTTGATTCAAGTCCTTGGAATAAAAAATCTATCAGCATGGAGCACTTTATCTCTTTAGTGAGCATACTCATCGCAACTATGGATTAATTGAACCGGTAAATTTTAAATATAAGATAATTTAACAAAGAAAATGGGAGGAATCCCATTGAAATAGGGAAAGCGAGCCATCATACGATAATAATTATATACTCTTGCTCAATATAACTACCGAATAGTTGAGCATATTTACTTCAGTCAATCGCCTTAATTATAAAGGTTTTTTTTGTTGGTAGAAATGACACCAGGTAGTGACTTTAAAGGGTTGCTGATATTAGGTTAAAAATTCATATTTTTGCATGTAATTTGTATTGCATTATGCCTCGATCTTGTTAACTTTGGTGTGAATATTTGTGACTCAAGCTTAATAATGGTATTTATATGTGTAGGAGTCAATTGGAAGTCATTTGAAAAGCTTGCATGCAAATTGAAGTAAAAACAGAAGAATTTGGAGGAAGTATGACTTTGGTGCCCAGGTTTGCGTCAGGCATCAACCAAAACGCCAAGGGCAGCATAGTACAAAAGTGGAAAAGATTGGTGTCCAGGTTCGCGCCAGGCGCAGAGGGGACACCCAAGGGCGGATTTCATCATAATTCGACTAGGACTTGGTAGTTTCAACCCTACACGCCTCCAACATGTATAAAAGAGGTTCTAAACCTATTCTTAGGGGGATACATTATAGCGAGAGATTATTGGAGAGGCAAAAGGCTACGGGAAAACTTGGAAGCAACGTGTCACGACCCAAAACCTACTATAGGCCGTGATGGCGCCCAACGTCACCGTTAGGCAAGTCAACGATGAACTATCATGTTAATTGTGCATTTTATTACTTTTGAAATAATAAATTTTATTAAGTAAAGAAATTTACACCTTTAAAATTATAGGTACATACATAATTAGTAATGCATAAAAATAGAGTGATAATAATATGCAAATCCGTAAGCATCAACTAGAATACCCCAAAACCCGCTGTCACAAGTGTATGAGCATTTTCTAAGGAGTACAATAATAATACAACGTCTGTCTGGACTGTAAATAAGACACGATAGAGTAAATAGCACGATGGAGACTCGGTGGACTGCGATATGTAGCCTGGAATGCAGCTCACCATAAAGTCTCCTCAATAGTTGCGCCTACGCGTCAAGATGACCACCAATTGAACCTGCTAGATCCTGCACATTTAGTGCAGAAGTGTAGCATGAGTACGTAAATCAACGTGTACCCAGTAAGTATCTAGCCTAACCTCGGAGAAGTAGTGACGAGGGGTCGACATCGACACTTACTAGAGGTCTAATAAAGCAATATGATAAATCATAAGCAGATATGAAGCACAACAACAATAATGGGGTAAAACTGAAAGTTACATAATCTTCCAAAAATTTCTTTTAAAGATATGAATTTCTCAGTCTCATATTCTATCTCAACAACTCAGATGTATCAAGTGCCAGTATCAAACGGATAAGGAATACCATATAAACAGCCACACATCAGTGGAAGGAAAATCTCGTGAATACTCGGACTGCTAGTGACCCATGATTATGCCGAGGTCGTACTGTCCTATCCAGAAAAATGTGTACACTGCCGAGAGTCGACCGACACAAACCATAGATGCATCTATTATACTGTCGAGGAATTCGGCCCGCTCCAGAAGAAAGGAAGGAACTTATTGAATTACGAGACACGTGCTTACAATACAGTACATGAGCATAAAGTGAATGTAACCTTTANTATAAATCAATTTCAAGTCATAAAATATAAAGTGAAGCTACTCACAGCCTCAAACCGCCGAACGATGCACTAGAGCTCAAAACGACCGATCGGGTCTTAAATTCTCCCCCCACTAAAACGTACATTCGTCCTCAAACGTGCCAAGAATTGTTTCGGAGTTGTCCAAAATTACTATTAACATCTCGTGCACCTACCCATGCCACCACAATATATGTGAGCATATTAGCTCGAGCCAGACTGAAGATCTTCTCTGTAACCTTAGCTAACAAGCCGTAGAACCAAATTTCAACATCCGAAATTCTCCACGAGACCCGATTCTAACATACGAACACCACATCAATCACTGCATACAGTACCAAAACATGATCATGCACCTATGCAAAAATCACACCATGCACCACATAAGTCGTTTGCCCATAATTACATCATCCGACCACAATAACTGCAATTTCACGAATCCGATGCCCGCAATATACCTTATAACAAATATAAGCCCTGTTCCAACTCTCGCAATACTGCCACGATGAAAGAGATGTGTAGAAACTCATAACTACCTGCCAAATCAATAAATCATGGAGTCTCTCCTCCTGACAAGAACTATTACCTCATTCTGAACGGAATAACGATATTTTTTCTTTCATATACCCTACATAACTCCGATCGCACTGATCTCAGGTTCAATAACCTCGTCTCACCCAGTACCAATTGCTCGGGAAATAGCCACCTCAAACACCGTTAAAAATCTCATACAACGCCATCAAAGCACCAACAAGCTACAACTCGAATATGACCCATAGGGAAGAACGAACTCTGGCAAACAACCATCCAGTCCGCATAACGAATAAAACGGCCAAACCGATATTATGGATCCATCTCAGAGATGAGAAACAAGACACACAAATAAGTATAAGGAACCATACTTAAAAGCTCACTGTTGCGGCGTGCAACCCGATCCAAACATGGCACTATTGCGGCGTGCAAACTGATCCAAATATGATATCGTTGCGGCACGCAACCCGATCCACACAACATATACGTAGCGGCGTGCCACCTGATCCAAACAATATACCCATGGCAGCGTGCCACCTGATCCATACAATAATCAATAAGGAAATACCCATCACGCCGTAATGCTTATACTTACGTGATGCCAGAATATCGACCACAAGCTCTCCAAGTGCATAATACAACCATGGGGAGACGAATAGTGCCATTCGCTACAAAAACCCAAGCACGACTAAGGTGCAATAAATGACCTACATCTCGAGAGCCATCTTGCTCATATAACACCACAAGCTACTCAGGATCAGAACACATGGGCGAATAATCAAGCCGTCTCACAACTCACTTGGCACAATATGGTATTACATGGAATAGCTGACATCAGGAATAACATCCAACGCTCTAAGACATCTCTGTAAGCAATGCTATGCTGAATGAACACATCTGTCCTGATGCAGAGCACACATTCACATTAGACCCACCAACGGACCTCAAGCTTATTTCGATCATCCCATACTGGGCCAACAACCTTTCAAGGATCCACAATGGCCCTATTCTTGACACATACGAGCATCTGTCCAATCTGGAACAGACTCCCACAGTCCACAACCAAATGAATAGAGAGCCTTTCAGGCGTAAACTCTCACATTAGCGATAGTACCAGAATCTCCATACTTGGTTTCAATCCTTAATAATCAAGTAACTAACCTGTCACACTTATAGTATTTTCCCATGGGATACGTGATAAGTAGGGATTTTAACCTATTATTTGCTCTCTTTTACTTGTGTTTAGGGCTAAAAATACGTAAAGGTATTCCCAGAAACTAATGTAATATGCTTGCTTGCAGGGATTGTTCAAAATGAGCCAAAGGAGTCATAATCAACTCATAAATGAGTCAAAACTTGAACAAAAAACCAAGACTGGGCCAAAAGATGTGAAACGCAGACCATACAAATATTGTGCGACCGCGATAGCTACAACGCGGTCGCAAGCACTATTTCAATATCAGCAAAAGGAAGATTCATAGAGATGGATTTTTGGGCCAAATCATGAACGCGGACCGCGTCAGAAAGGTGCGGCCGTGAAAGTACCTGCGCGATCGCGATTGGAATTACACGGATCGAGGTTGCTGAGGTTCAGAGAGCTTACATTTTCATCTTTTAATCTAATATTATGAATTTTATCTTCTTTTCATCTTTGATTTCTACTATTTCTATGAGTAGCTAGACCCATAGCTATGGTTGTGACCCAACCCTAGTGTGGGTATTTAATGGGTACTGAATTTTAGGGCTTGAATGTTTATGGGTTAGTGATATTTAGCCTAGTTCTTGCTAGAATTGTAGAATTAGTGGTTGCAAGCACTAATTCATGCCTTTATGACTTAGTCTCTTCTTGAGAAAGAGGGACTAAGTCTAGGAAAACTAGGCTAACAAGGAATTGGGGTGAACTCAAGAAATTGATAGCCCCAATTAAAGGGTTAAACCTAGGGATAGTAATACCCGACTTGAGCTAATATCACGTGACTTGCATGAATACCCATTTGGACTTGAGAAAGCCAAATTGGGCAAAATCACTCAAACTATCGAGAGGTATATAGTGAGTACTTGGGTGTGATAGCTATATTATGACCCCAAATTAATCAAGCTTGTCCTAGATTCTTGCTACCCATTAGATATCCACCTAAGAAGAAGTCACTACCCTAGTCCTTTTAAACACTTGAAAACCAACATCAAAAAAATATTGTTCTTAGCTTTAATCATTGCATACAATAGAGTAGAATTAGAAGTAGAATCAAAACCAAAATGTGTGGAAGCGTAATTAGGAACAAAACACGCATCTAGACTTAGATATAAACCTAATTCCAAATCAATTAACTCCCTTTGGATTCGATCCCGACCTTGTTGGGTAAAACTGCATCGACTATCCTCGCTACTCAATAGTAGTGCAGGCTTGGACCCGATCAATGTTTGGCGCCGTTGCTGGTGAGTTAGACGGTCTTAGCTATATATCTAACTATTTGTGTGTTTTGTTCTTCTTTCCTTTTGTTTTTCTAATTTTTGTGTGTCAATTTCTTTTAGGTACCAAATAGCTCTTAATGAGGCCCTCAGACATATTCCTCAAGGGGAGGAGGTAGATGAAAATAAAGTGGATGAGGTTCATCTTGAACCTCAAGTACAAAGAAGAGTCCGCCCGCCTCATGACAACATTCCAAACCCTCCCCCACCTTCTCTAAGGGCAGCTTACCGGGTGTTGCCCAATGAACGCTGCGCAAGTGCAATTGTACCGCCCCAGATTCGGGCGGGCAATTTTCAAATAACCAATATCATGCTTACTCTATAGGAACAAAGGGGTTTATTCACCAGAGCTCCATATTAGAATGCATATAAGCATCGCAAAGGTTTTGTAGACACATGCTGGGGGAGCAAGCAGACGAATGTATCCGAGGATGCTTTGAGGTTAAGGCTTTTCCCTTTTTCACTTAGAGGGAAGGCTTTGGATTAGCTTGAGAGGCTACCCAACCATTCCATCACCACTTGGGATGAGTTAGCCGAGAAGTTCATAGCAAAGTTCTTTTCTCCGGGACATATGGCAACATTGAGAGATTAAATCCTTGCTTTTAAACAAGAGCCAAATGAACCGTTACATGAGATTTGGGAATGGTACCAGACAATGGTCAAAGAATGCCCCAACAACGATATGACTGAAGCAATGATCCAGCAAACCTTTTATAGGCGTATCAACAAAACTAACCAGTGTGTGGTGAATCAGCTCGCATGGGGTAACTTCATGAACACGCCATATTTAGAAGCATGTGAAATATTAGATGAGATGGTGGACACCTCTTCAGCTTGGCAAAGTCGGGCCAACGTTCCTCAGGGTGACCCTAATGTTATCCACCTTCACAAGGAACTTCATGATCACGGACAAGCCATAGTAGAGTTGACAACTACCATGAATCAGTTAGCCAAGGCACAACTTTAGTAGGTTCATGGGCTAAAGCAAGTAAATGCCATGGAAGGAGTGAATGTAATGGTTAACAAGAGGAGACAAATAGGTCAACAAGTTCAACACAATTAGGATCAATTTGAGCAAAGTGGGTACAACCAAGATGACTCTTATGACGATCAAAGTGAAGAGGTTCAATATGTGAACAATTACCAAGGTCAATAGAGCAATGCTCCAAATCAACAACATTGGAGATCACAGGGAAACAATCAAAATTGGGGCAACCAAGGCCAAGGGAATTGGAATAGTGGCAAGAACAACAATCCGAACAATTGGGGAAACAACAATCAAAATTGGGGGAATCAAGGAAATAACCAAGGCAATTGAGGTGGCAACAATAATAGTAATTGAGGAGGCAGTGAAACCCAAGGGGGTTGGAACAACAATAATTAAGGGAACCGGGGGTCGGGCTCTCAAAGGCCCCCGATGTATCAACAACCCAACACCCGCCTCCATATCCATAACAAGGGCAAAGTTCTTCCAACAATAAGATGGGACGGATAGAAAGTAAGTTCAAGTAAATGATGGAAAGAAATGCCGACTCCGATGCCAAAATAGCCTCCCACAACACTTCTATCCGCAACTTGGAAGTCCAAATGGGTCAAATTTCTCAAGCCTTGAATACTCTCCCTAAGGGGGAACTACCAAGTGATACGGTAGTAAACCCGAAGGGTGGAAACAATACGGGCCATGCTATGGCGGTGACTACAAGAAGTGGTAGAGGTGGAGTTACTAGTACCTCCAATCCAAGAAAGATCGTGAATGATGATGTGGTTGTGCAAGAAGAGGATGAGCCAAGAAATGATGAGAATGTGAATGATGAAGTGAGGATAGACATTGATGAAAACGTGGAGGAGACACAAGATGATGTGAACCCGTCTAGGGAACATGTGATAGACGTACCAGATCTGATAGTGCCCAAAGCCAAGTCTCCTTTGCCAAGGCCTCCTCCACCATATCCTCAAAGGCTCGCAAATCAAAACAATGAGAACCAATTCAAGAAATTCATTGATATGATGAAAAGTTTGTCCATAAATGTGCCTTTGGTTGAAGCTCTAGAACAAATACCGGGATTTGCCAAGTTCTTGAAGGACTTGGTAACAAAGAAGAGGTCAATGAACTGTGAGACGATAAAAATGACACATCAAGTGAGTGCCATTGTGCATTCTATGGCTCCAAAGCTAGAAGATCCCGGTGCCTTTACAATTCCATGCATTATTGGTAGTGCCGATTTCGCCAAAGCCTTCTGTGATTTGGGAGCGAGCATTAATTTGATGCCATATTCTGTGTTCAAGACATTGGGGATTGGGCAACCAAGACCTACTTCCATGAGGTTGCAAATGGCGGACCGAACAACAAAGAGGCCATTGGGGATAATTGATGATGTGCTAGTTCGGGTCGACAAGTTCATACTTCCAGCAGATTTTGTGATACTCGACTGTGAGGTTGACTATAAGGTGCCAATCATATTGGGGAGACCTTTCCTAGCTACAGGTAAGGCCTTAGTTGATGTGAAAGCTAGGGAGCTCACCTTCTAGGTAGGCGATGAAAAAGTTGTGTTCCACGTGTGCAAGTCAATGAGGCAGCCTAATAGCAACGAAGTATGTTCGTTGGTGGATCTTGTGACTTTGGTGATTGTTGATGACACAAGTGCTATGATTAATGTGGAAGACCCGTTGGAAGCTGTGTTGTTGAATCATGATGAGGATGAGAAGGAAGCCTTGGTAGAATGTGCAAATGCTTTGAAGGAATGGGATCCTACACATATGGACCCCAAAAACTTTCCTTGGACCTTGAGAACCGGAAGACTCCACCAAAAAAGCCCTCAATCGAGGAGCCACCCACATTGGATTTGAAGCCCTTGCCTTCACACCTCAGATATGAGTTCTTAGGCCCTTGTTCCACATTACCTGTTATTCTCTCTTCGTGCTTAACTAACGTGCAGGTAGATTCCACCCTTGCGGTGCTTCAAAGAAGGAAGAAGGCAATAGGTTGGAAATTGGCGGATATTATGGGTATAAGCCCCGCCTTTTGCATGCACAAAATCATATTGGAGTAAGATGCCAAACCATCCGTGGAACATAAAAGGATGTTGAACGAGGCCATGCAAGAGGTAGTCAAGAAAGAGATCATCAAGCGGCTAGATGCAGGAGTTGTGTACCCCATTTCTGATAGTTCATGGACTTCGCCGGTACAATGTGTCCCAAAGAAGGGGGGAATGAGTGTGATCACAAATGATAGAAATGAATTGATCCCCACAAGAACTGTCACCGGTTGGAGGGTATACATGGATTATAGGAAGCTGAACAAAGTGACCCAGAAAGACCATTTTCCATTGCCATTTTTTGACCAAATGTTGGATAAACTTGCCGGACGTGCTTATTATTGAGTTTTGGATGGGTATTCCGGATATAATCAAATTCTCATTGCACCTGAAGACCAAGAGAAAACCACCTTCACTTGTCTGTATGGCACATTTGCGTTGCCGTTTGGTTTGTGTAATGCACCGGCTACTTTTCAGCGGTGTATGATGGCAATATTTACGGATATGGTGGAGGACTTCCTCGAGGTGTTCATGGATGATTTCAATGTTGTGGGGGATTCTTTTGAAGAATTCTTGGATAATCTTGATAAAGTGTTGGCTCGATGTGAAGAGACCAACTTAGTGCTTAATTGGGAGAAGTGCCACTTTATGGTCGGGGAGGGCATTGTCCTCGGCCATAAGATCTCCAAGAACGGTATTGAAGTGGACAAAACAAAAATTGAAGTGATATCAAAACTCCCTCCTCCGACTTCCGTCAAGGGAGTGAAGAGCTTTCTTGGTCACGCAGGGTTTTACCGTAGGTTCATCAAGGATTTCTCAAAAGTGGTGAACCCCTTGTGCAAGTTGTTGGAAAAGGATGCCAAGTTTGTGTTCAATGATGATTGCATGAAATCTTTTGGGCTACTAAAGTATAGGTTGACTACCACTCCTATCATTACCGCACCGAATTGTAGCTTACTATTTGAGCTCATGTGCGATGCTAGCGTCGTTGCGGTAGGAGCGGTATTAGGGAAAAGAATCAACAAGATATTTCATCCGGTCTATTATGCAAGCAAAACAGTAAATGACACTCAAGTCAACTATACGGTGACCGATAAAGAGCTATTAGCCATTGTCTTCGCCATGGAAAAGTTCTGCCCGTACCTCATAGGTACCAAAGTGATTGTGCACACCGATCACGCGACACTTCATTATTTGATGAGTAAAAAGGACTCTAAGGCTAGGTTGATGAGATGGTTTTTTCTTCTACAAGCGTTTGATCTTGAAATCATAGACCGAAAAGGGAGTGAGAATCAAGTGGCGGACCACTTGTCCTGCTTGGAAGAGGAGGGGAGTCCCCATGATGGCCTCGAGATTAATGATTCATTTTCGGATGAACAACTCCTCTCCGTGTCTTTGACTGGGATACCTTGGTTCGCCGATGTGGCTAACTTTCTTATGACCGGCATTATCTCGAATGAGCTCTCTTCTAATCAAAGGAAGAAGCTCAAATGGGACTGCTTGGATTATTATTGGGACGAGCCATATCTTTTCAAAATTTGCAATGTGGTGTTATCCGGAGATGTGCTTCGGAAGAAGAGCAATTGAGTATTCTTGAAGCTTGCCATTCCTCGCCCTATGGTGGTCACCATGGTGGGGCGACAAATGCTACAAAGTTCTTAAGCTATGAATTCTATTGGCCTACCTTGTACAAAGATGTTAGCGAGCTCGTTTGGCGTTGTGATGAGTGCCAAAGAGACGGTGGAATTTCCAAGAAGAATGAAATGCCTCTCACCACCATCCTTGAGATTGATATTTTCGACGTGTGGGGCATCGACTTTCTGGGACCATTTGTGAGTTCATGTGGGATCACTTATATTATTGTTGCTGTGGATTATGTTTCCAAATGGGTTGAAGCTGTGGCTTTGCCCAACAATGAGGCACGGAGTGTGGTGGCTTTCTTAAAGAAAAATATCTTCACAAGGTTCGGCACCCCAAGGGCTATCATTAGTGATGGGGGTTTTCATTTTTGCAACAAAGCCTTTGACACTTTACTTTCCAAGGATGGTGTCAATCATAAGATGTCAACCCCCTATCATCCCCATGCAAGTGGACATGTTGAAGTCTCCAACAGGGAGATAAAGAGCATTCTATCCAAGACTGTCAATGCAAACTGAACTGATTGGTCAAGGAAACTTGACGATGCTTTATGGGCCTATAGAACAACTTATAAGACTCCAATTGGTATGTCTCTGTATCGGTTGGTATTTGGGAAAGCATGTCATCTTCCGGTTGAATTAGAGTACAAGGC